GGCTTCCTGTTGTCTGGGGCTCCCTGTGTAAAAGACAGTAAATCGTTCTTTAATGTATTTAATTCACTTTAAAATTTACTAATGTTTTTCATTTGTACTTCTTGCCACTGTTGTTGACTTTCCTGTAGCTGCTGCTGACTTTCCCGCAACTGTTGGAGACTTTCTTCATGTTTTCTTTCTTGTTCCAGTTGCCACCGCTGTAGTCTCTCTTCTTGTTTATTTTCTTTCTCCTCGAACCACTGCTGTAGTCTCTCTTCTTGTTTCTTTTCTTTTTCCTCCAACAACAGCTGTAATTTCTCTTCTTGTTTCTTTTCTTTTTTCCTCCAACAACTGCTGTAATCTTTCTTCTTGTTTCTTTTCTTTCTCCTCCAACCACTGATGTGGTCTCTTTTCTCGTTCTTCTTGTTTCTTTTGCTGTTCTTGTATTGCTGCTATCAAATCTGCTAAGTCGTGGTTTGATTTGCCACTTCTCGTTTCCATCTTTTTTCTTTCTTTTCAGTCCAACTCTCTGACACCAATTTGTTGGGTATCTGCTTGTTTGTTAATTTCCTGCATAAATTCTTTCCAAGGAACTTCAGCGATACAAGTCCTTTTTTGATTAAACTAGTTTATTATTTCTCGATACACAGAATTTCCACAGTCACTTTAAACGTAATAACTTTTATCACACATGGTATAAGTCACAGTGATTCACACACGTACTTACGGTGCCTACTGTTCGCTTGACTCAATTATCTCTCTCTTCAATCCCGCCGGTTTTTCTCGCCAGGCTTATATACTAAAAAAGAGGGTGCCTCGAACAAACTCGGGCTCCCCGATAATTCATGATCCTCCGAGAAACTCCAGCGCGCACGCTCCCAGCGTCACGCAAGTTCCGCTGTCGTAACAATACTAAAAAAAGGAGCATCCAGATCACACTCGAGCTGCCAGGCAAATTCATGATCATTCGATAAACTCCAGCGAGCATGCTCCCAGAATCACTTGACTTCCGCTGTCGTAACACTGAGTTATAGCAGACCTGATAGAGAAAACACCTAAATAGCTTGGCTGTCACTCATATTTAGAAAACAAATATGATTCATCTACATACTTTGAAAGCTATCCTGTTCACTTGAATGACCTAGAACTCTACTTGGGGAAATGCCCCAAGCAATAGTCACTGGTTCAACATGCTGACAATAACCTCACATGTTCTTTCATTTCTTAGAATAAATTAAATACGATCACCGCCCTCTAGAAATTAGTAAACTAAAGATCTGTGAAGAGACTGTATATAGAGAAAAATATTTCCGAAAACCAACGAAACTGGTTATGTGCACAGGAAAAAAATAAACACTTGAAAATACAAAGATGCATTGATGCCTACAGTTGTGGTAATTCAAAGATCATCCTGGCACAAAGTTACCTGATCTCTACAACAACGACCTAGTATGTTAGAATACAACACTTTATTTCCTGCTAAATAAATGAAGAAAATGAGTTCATCTTTTAATGGTAGAACTATTACGTTGTAAAGTGAAATTAAGTAAAATAAATGTTTAACTGTATTAAATTGCAGGTAAATGGAAGAAAATTTGTTTAAATATAATTGGTAAATGAAAGAACAAACACGTATGACCAGCAGACTAAACAGTACAGAGAACAAAGATGAGACTTCCACAACAAATCTTTTTGGAAACTGCATTCATAATTTACTTTCCTTCTATAGCTGACCAACCAGAAAATTGAATAACAATTATTCAGAAATATCTCTGCTTCAAGTGACAGCCATGAAGCAGCCTTCTATACACAAGATAAAGCATGATACAGTACAATTATCCCACAAAACAGTAGACTTAAAAGTTGGATGTTGGACATCAGAAATTTTTTAGAACTTAAAAATTTTACAGATATGAGAAATGAACCATATGCTGTATAAGAGTGAAATATAACGTACTTACATACCACACAGTAGTCATACATTAAACTACACTTTACGCACTATATACCAAAAAGTTTGAAAGTGCCTCAGACATTGCAATACGAATAGCTAATAAATAAACATATAAAAGTAATTCTCTAAAAACACATATAAAAACATATCTTGACTGTAATTAACTCTGAATATTACAACACTTTAGAAACTTATTGTTGTGGCGGCTGATGCTAAATTTAATACTTGCCTCCATCGCAAGGAGCTGAACACTCTGACATCACAATGCTCCAAACGAATGGTTCCACCCTTTCCTTGCTTCTGTTTTGTAACGGTAACTGTAGATATTGTGATGGATCAAAGCCAGATTTAACGTGAGAGACTCGTGTAAAAGGTCTTCTGAACTCATTGAAGTTTTTAGTTTTATCATCCTTATAAGTTAGCAATTCTTGTTTTTGAAGATACCTTTTAATCCGGAAAAGATGTTTCACATGGGATACATAGCTGTCATCTGTTAGTAATTGAAAAATAAACAAACTTAAAGATGAGTTATTACTGAAATGACTGTCTATAATCTCTTTCAAACACATCTTTAACTTTAGTGTGAAATACGATAAGCGTTTGTAAAGTTCAATGTCCATTCTTTATTTCAGAACAAAATATACTTTCTTGTATGAAGGAGAGCTAGCTAGTTCCTAGTCTACCGTTTGGACTAAATATACAGATAGTGTAGTATGCTTAGTAAATTAGAGAAATACAGTGTTGAGTACGTTATTTTAAAATAATTTCGAATAAGCAAGTCACGTGACTACCACAGCCGGTATGTTTGATAACTCCATTTGATTTTGTTTGGCGTCCCTAAGTAGTGTAATGCCACCGAAAAATTGATCTCTTCTGGGAAGGATTTGTGACATCTGAAGCAATATATTAATACACTAAAGTCATAAAGCTATGATAAGATCGAGATTTAGAATTTACAGTGAGGGAATATCTCAGTACTTAATGGCATTAGAAATCAAAGGAATAAGGATCGACTAAGGGGCCCAGGACCATCTAGCAAGAGACTTGAGTCAAAATTTACACCAGTTATGATAAGAAAAGTAAAGTGTGTCATTTTGTAACAGGTGAGAATCAATGAACGCAAGCGTCAGTGGTAAAAGCCATCCACGTGCCTCAGGCAACAGCAACATAATAGAAAAGAATCTCCATTTGGAAAAAGTGACACAAGTCACGTGTACACAAATTGCTTCCACGACATATTTCCGTTCAACTGTCGCATACCTCAAACAGGTGGGGAAAATGTTAAGTCATGCTATTCCACACGTATGGATTCCTGTGCAGTCGGACTGTTGAAACAGTTGCCGATAAACCGTTGTACTCGTACATTAGATAAATTATTGAAGGCAGGCAGACAGGAGTGGTGTTCTTTGGACATGAAAACTTTACGACACAAACTACACTGTAGGGCTATTGTCAATATGCACAATCGCCAGATAAAGCATGTTCAGACGTAGTGACATGGATGGTAACGATGTAGTGAAGCTCCAGAATCATCCTAATATAACGTACTCAACCTTTGAATAATGTACACCACATTCTTCTGAGAGGGTGATAATTTAAACATATCGATCGCTTAAAAAACCTTTTTCAAATTATGATCAGTTTGACTGCAGCAAAATTGCATATAAGCTGGTAATTTTTTTATTATTATTAATCAGTACACATAAATATTTGAGAAATTTCCCTTTAAGCATCAGACTACATACCATCGTCTTGTGGGGTTCCGTCTGTGTCAAATGTCTGAAAGAAAGAAAGCAAGCATTTTAAAATGAAAGAAGATCAGTTTAACATTTAAATAAAACTCAAACAAAAGAGTTAGGTAAGTTAATTTTGAAATTAGTAATGAGACCAGGAAGACATTTACATTAAAGATGGGCATTGAATTACTTTAAAAAATCTCCTCTATGGGGTTTGGGGTCTTTTTATTTATTCATTATTGAACTAGAAATAGCGCTAAATGCACGACTAATTATAAATTGATATGCATAAAATAATAATTATGATCAGTGTCATTGAGAGGATACCAGTTCATCAGTAAAGTATAAAATGGAAATTTTAAATATGTCCCGTATCTAAATAAAATTATTATAATTAAACACGTTTACCCAATCACAACCAGACCAGTACAAAACACAGAGCAGGTGTGGACAGAACTTACAGCTATTTCAGTTTTCCATGTTGTAACAGTTTAGGCCATTGGTCAGCGCATCACGTTATCAAATACATATGACTCCAGATGAAAAAAAAAGAAAAAAAGACTAAAGCATAAACAAGATATTTTGCATTACAAAACATGTCCAGAATTTTCTTCAATTTGTTCATGATGAGTCTTATTTGCTGCTAAGTGATGTATGTTGTTCTAGAACACTAGCCAAATGTGATTAAACACTGGTGGACATTGATTTTTTTATTCCTCCTCATGTAAATCCAGTCTTTTACAATATTTTAACTCAATGAACAGCTTACCACACATTTTCCATTCAAGCAGTAGGCTTTCACATGAGATTCACTCCCACTACAGTCAGTTCCGGCAGGAAATTTACCATCATCAAACACATCCATCTGGTAATGTGTGTCAAGCCAAACTTTATCTTGACATGCTACCATGCATGCTGAATCAGGGTTACCTTTAAAAGTCAGATACAAAAAGGGGATGAATACAATGTCGAAAGGAAGAAATTCCACATAATTACTATGTGAGAAATATATTGATTAATAATCCTAATTTGGAATCTCATAAGGAATTCTGGCAACCTAATCTAACAAACATTAGCAGGCCTTAAAATGCCCCAACTTATAAGTTAATAAAAAATGCGAAACAACTAAAGAGAGTTTGTTTCTCTGTTTGTTGTTAAGCACAAAGCCACACAATGTGCTGTCTGTGCTTTGCCCATCACGGGTATAGAAATATTATTTTTAGCGCTATAAGCCTTCATGCTGACTGCTAACTACTGTGGGCAACTAAAGAGAGAAAATTAAAACTAACAACGTGTAAACGAAAAGTAGATAAAGCACCTGAGTTGACTATACTCAGTTAATGTGTGATTTATATGCACATACTGTATTACAAACTTATAAGACCTGGCCTTCAGGAGTAGGTAAGGTATATCGCTTTTAAGTTTAATAGAACCGACTATCTCGTCTTTCATTTACAGCCTTTTTCTTGCTAACCTTGAAATTGAAGTCATAATCGCAAAGCATCTCAGTGGCTCAGCAGTAAATCTGAAGGGGTAAAACGCTAAAAAAAAGGGTTTCGTTACCCGTAGTGAGTATAGCAAAGATAGCCCAATGTGTAGGTATGGGCTTAACAACAAGCAAAAAAAAAAAAATAATCAAAATAAATGATTTCTTGGCTAATGTTAAATTAAAATGTCACACAAAATTTGATGAGACTTCATAACTGCAGGTCAGTTAGTACATCAACAGTGGAGAGGGAGTCCATACGGATACATTCACAGAAGTGTTTTAGCCTTAAACCAACCATCTCAATGGTGAATACAAAGCCTTCGCTCTCATGGTACGTTGAACATCGAAATCGAGACGAAGAACGACAAAAAATCATAAAGTGGAGGGGTGAATTCCACTCTACTGATTGTTTGTTTTGGATGGGCATGTCTGGGTTTGATAGAAGCCTGTATAAGTCTTCGTATATGACTGTGACATTCCAACTGTGAATGCAGTGTCCAGAATTTTCAGCAGCCCTTGACCTCAACCCATTCAACTGTTTTAAAATGGAATGCTAACTGACGGTCAGACCCTTAAATTTCGCTAAAGTTGCTTTGAAAGGTTAGTATACCTGTTCCACCAACTGAAAGGTTAGTATACCTGTTCCACCAACTGAACATCGTGCAACGGTTGGTAGAAAGTGTTAATACTTTAATAGGATTCAAACTGTGATAAGAGATAAGTTTATTTACAATTAAAATTGGACCTTGCCCCAGTTTCATAACATCATCTTATTTCATAAGGTGTGTTAACCTTGCCCCAGTTTCATAACACCATCTTATTTCATAAGGTGTGTTGACCTTACCCCAGTTTCATAACACCATCTTATTTCATAAGGTGTGTTAACCTTGCCCCAGTTTCATAACACCATCTTATTTCATAAAGTGTGTTGTCTTAATACTTTTAGTAACATACTGTGTGTATGTAGATATAGGGGATAAGTTATATCTCTTTATATCGACGTTTTATCCTTTTCAAGAAAATACAGTTTTATTGTATGATTAACCACTGTTTTTACATATTCCAGTAAGTATTTTTAAAATCATGCTAGAACCAAAAAGTTCAAAGGAAAGAATTCAACAAATTAGAATTTTAAAATGGATGTTATGATAACTTGTTGCACATGATAGTTTAAAGACACGTTAACAAATTGCTCAATATATACCAAGTTTTATGACAATAAGCACAGTTACCGTAAAAAAAAAGTTATCCAAACCATTGACATAAACATGTTAAACAATAGTACAAAACACAGACCACTAAGAGATCTTAATTACATTTTTATCACTCTAGCCATGTATACCTTTCCCCCATTATAAACTTCATTTAAATAAATATTATCATATAATCTCTTTTTGCAGCTAATGTAAATATACGCATCTTTCGAATTTTATGTTTTGAGCTAAAAGACATTCGTACAAATCTCTTCTAACCCTAACAACAATTTTCTTGATTGGTAGCTACACTTTTAGCATTGATAAGTATTTTACAGCAAATATTCATTCATTAGTTTGTTCAACTTGGGGCATGATGGTGAGTAAAACAAAATACGCGTCCTACCTAACTCATGAATGAATATTTGCTGTAAAATTCTCAACAATGCTATAAGTGTAGCTACCAGTTTGGCCGCCAATTTGGATTTAATTCCTTTGAGTCGCACGATCAATCCTTTTTTTTTTTTGGCCATACCTTGTTTTCACACCTAAGCTGTTTTTGATTAGATATCATAACTTTTTGTCAATACATACTTACAATCCATAGCAAGTAAGAAAGTGACACTCGATAGTAACGCACATTACTTTTAGGATCGCAACCCTATTATTCAGAATCGACCTTTACTTTACAGAACCAACGAAATTCTTTAAAATATATGATTGTAAGTTTTCCTCTCTAAAACAGGGTTAATAGCTTCCTTTATAGTAACGCCATGGAAGTTGGATAAATAGTTTCTTTTCATCACCCTCATACAATCGGTCCTGCCGTATCAGACATCATTATTTATGCTAATTGCTTAAGCTAATATCACGTGACGCGAAACGCTCTTTAATTAGGGTAATTTCATAAAAGTTAGTAAATTTGTGCGGAAAAGTTGGCAATCAATAATCAGTAATAACCGTCCACCCTTCTGATTCTTTTGAAAATTTGAGCTAAAAACTACTAATCTAGTTTGCTTGGCCTAACCAATAGTTATGTATCTGTATATGCTTTCATCTTTTAAGTTTGCAGCTCTAAATCAGCCGTCATTAATCCGAATGGCAAAAACTGAAAAAGATCCACTTTTACTCTTAGGTGAAACTGTAGTAAAAATTTTAGACCGATAGCTCACGTGACTGCGAAGGCGTGCGCAAAACTTTTGGTCGAAATTGAGTGGTTTTTGTTGAAGAACTTTGCAAGTGTGACTTATACTTAGACCAAAGCTAACTCCTAATTCTAGGTTATAAAGATCTATTACTGTACCAAAAAATCCATAAAAGTTAAGTATGTTTTTTCTATCAAATAAAGTTTCCATGCTTTCGGTGCGAAGAATAAACAAACCAAAAATAAAAGATAAAAAAGGAAGAACTTCAATCAAAATTGGAGATGTTATATCTCGTGTATTTATTAATAGATTGCCTTGAAATTTGGTATGTGAAGTAAGAGTCCAGTAGAGCACATCCACTGAAAATATTTGATAGTTTGGATTACCACAGCCCAAGCTACAGAAAGTGGAAAAATGTTAAACTATCACTCCTGTCAATAACATAGTGTGTCCTGCAGGTTGTTTTGGCCGCACAATACACTACCGTATGCCTTGATATTTTTTTAACTTACACATTTTTAATTCACTAACGATTTCATTCCTTTCAGAATGAGCTTCTCATTGAAGCATAAAATACGAGGAGTAAAATCGTTTTTAGATAATTAGATCAGATCGATAAAACTTCCGAAGCTGCATTAAATTTTCCCTATGTAGATCATTCACCATCAATATCGTGTAATATTCTAATTTACGTCTCAATCAATCTAGAAAATAAAAGCATAGCCCTCCGTTGAGTCAGTAAGAAATCCGTGGACTTATAACGCTAAACTCTTACGGTGTACAGAAAGCAGACAGTCCATTGTGTAGCTTTGCGCTAAAAAAAAACAACAACATAAAAGCATAAATTGTGTGGCAAAATACAAAACCTATGATTAACTATATTTTCCTTTAAAAAATAAATATTTGTTAAAAATGTTTTCTTTATTGATAAGTAGCATGTCTACATTACGTGCATGATTCCAAAACAAGGAATGAAGAAGGGTAAAACTAACCTGGTCTTGAGGATAACTGCTGCCCTCTACCACTCAACAACGTGGGATATTTCTTCTTGTATCTTTGACACACTTCACTGGCATACTGATCAACACTTTGTTTAGTCCCACCACAGGACTAGGATATAGAAAGAAAACAACATATTTATATTGTTATTGTTAGAACTTCTGTTTATTACGTAGGTTAGCTTTTATTATGCTTAAAGAGATTTCATTTTGGAATGTATACTTATACATTTTCATTCTGATCTATGACTTCTTTTCTCTTCCAAACCCGCATCTTTTTGGTCCCTCTATCATCTAAACGTTACTCTGGTAACAAAGATTTTTAAACTTCAGTTAGCTGCTTTGAATGTTAATCATGACAGTGTACCTTATCGCTAGAAACTCATGGTTTCTTTGTGAATTCATTCATCCATTCTAATCAGTACTAAAACTTTTATAAATATGATATACACAAAAGGTTTCGTTAAAACTCCCCTTTCGGACAATTAAAAACAAAAATTTAATTTTTCGGGAAAGCGAGATATGCTAAAAAAAGTTACATAAAGGAAGGGTATAGAATTATGACCTATTTTATATATTTCGAGTTTGGTGACTGAATATCGACGTTTAAATACTAATTTGCTGTGTACAGACAGGCGGAGTAACATAGAAAATAACCGTTTCAACCCGATATACAAGCATAAAGGAAGTTATTCTTCCGTTACCTCAAACCTGTTCACTTCACTCGCAGCTTTGAAGTAATAAACTATGGCAACAGATTGAATAATATAAGTTAGACTAGACTATAGTCAGTATTCTTTGTGCATGTTAAATACACAACTATAACATTATATGTCATTTTTTATTTTAAAACAGATATGTTTTTAGCATTGCTAAGTTTGATTATCAAATGTATTGAACTGTACGCTTGGCCGTGTAGTCTGAAACCAAAGGTTAGTTTATTTACATGACTTCCTAAAACACGACCTTAAATAATCATACCTGCGATTGGTCATCACACAGACGAATTGTTTCTTTGGTGGTCAAACAATAAAACCTGTATGGGGGAAAATAATGCCATTTATAATATGTTATAAATTATAAACACGCTTGTAAATAAAGTTGCGTTTATTGCAATCTACTTTTATATCATCGGTCATTGAAACTAAACTTGAATAAAAACAGTCCAGTTCATAGTATGTATGATATTTACTTTTATGTTATAAATAAAAATACTTGATATGTGTTTTATGCTCATTGTTGTTTGTCTCTCAGTGGTTCAGTGGTAATTCTACAGATTTAGAACGCTAAAATTTGGGTTTCGATACTCCTGGTTGACAAAGCACAGATTTTTGTTTTTTAAATTTAATTAGTACTGTAATAAATACCCAAATACCCCCCAGTGGCACAGCGGTATGTATGTGGACGTACAACGCTAAAAACCGGTGGTGGGCAGAGCACAGGTAGCCCATTGTATAGCTTTGTTTTTAAACTACAAACAAACAAACTATAATAAATGACAAACACTCACTTTCTGAACGGCTTGTTTTTGACCGTAAGAGGATCATCTCTATTTAATAAAAGCGGTTTTCATATGTTAATGTAGTGGTGTTAATGTAAGCTAAGAGTTGAGTACTAGGTGACATTCCCAAAGGCTGTGTCGCCAGGCGCTGACTCTTTATACAGAGACCCGAGTACCTTGAGGCGGTATAAGAGAATCTTTTTACTGATGTTATCAGAATCCTCTTGGCTGTGTACTGTCTTAACGGATCTTCATATTTTGCTTTTATAAACTACACCACATTTCTTACACTTTATCTTGTTTAGCTCAAATACGGAGTTAGTTTGCGTTTTGTTTCCTACTTACAATGTTCCCATGTGTTCAATTATAGGCCTAGTACCGTGTTAGTATGGTTTGGTTATAGCACTAGTGTTTAGATTTAATTACATTGGAGTTACTTTGAATTGCATTGTAAGTACAAGTACAGAACTATTGCCAATGTTAGACTTAGCTAGTTTAGTCTCAGTACATGTTTAAACATTAGTCCTAGACAGAGACCAATCTATTAGTAAGATAAATGCCAGTGTTAACCATCTGGAACCTAGTTGTTTACAACATTAGGACAGATGAATATCTGAAGATCAATGGCTAACATAATTTAAATCTGAAATTTGTACCAAGGAGCGCCACACAGAATGGGTAGGTTAACAGGTCATCAAGCGGAGAGGACGTATAACACTGTCACTAGCGGCTAGAAACAACATGAAGATGCTTAGTTGCCGGTTGTAAGCAGGACTGATCTGCTTAAAGTGCTGCACCGAGAGGCTTCTTGGCGGTGAAAGGGTATTTTTGTACCCTTTTGGCAAGTGTGAAAGCTCCATTCTAATTGGCTTCTGGTCCACTGTCATTCGCTTGCCTTGTTAGGGTGGAAGGAGCTAGGAACAGGAGTTCTGAACAGTAAGTAGTTAATGCACTGTCTACAAGCCATAAGGATGCGAGATATGGTTTTGCAAGCAACATGTTTAGTACGTACAAAATTTGGTTCAAAACAAATTCTCAACCATTCAACAGTGCAATGCTACATACTTTTACGAAGAATGATGTTTATGTAGTGAGACTTGTAAACACTGTAAAGCCAAGAGATACAACATTCCAAAGAAGGAATCTTTAATGTTATATACGGAAGAAGGAAAACACACCGATTAGAATGTTCATGACTAGGACAACGGTGGGCACTGAAACTACACCCAAAGTAAATTATAAACAACGTCTTCATTTGCAATGTGAAAGCTTTGGTTACAAAAGAGAACCCTACGCCCCCCAAAGAAGTTTTTGCCATGAAGTGAGGCATACCTTCTCGTATTATTATTAATAGACAAAGACTGAAGTTGAAAAAATTCACAGGACAAAATGTTATGAAGTTTTATCCCCGCCTCAAAATATATCATATTCGACCACATCTCCGTTAATTAAGTCTCCCAGTACAGATCCAATAGACTTTCGTTCCTTTTGTCTGCTTCAACATGGTCTTGGAAGTCAATGAATACATACATTGTAGAATCTGTGGAATGTTTGACCTAGCCATTTTTCACAGATAATGCTACAATAGAAAATACGAATTTGGTCATAGTGCGTAATTATGGACATCGGACTAAGTATAGCCAATCATAGAGCAGGTAACTCTGAAGGTAGTACAGAACCTGGAACGTTATTATTACAAAGTGCGACTACCTTACAGTCTCTTCTGAATTTTCACCCTGCTAGAAAACTCTGTTTTGAGATTTATCATACAATATTCTTCTGAACTTATTTGTTATTATCTATCTTTTAAACTCATTAACACATACCTGAGCTTAAAAGTTTCCATAACATTTTTATCTATGTAAAAACACTTACTGAGAACTGCAATCTTTTTTAACAACTTGAAGTCCCTTGCTTCCAAAGATGCATGATTTTTTGCATTGGCTGATAGATTTCCAACCAGCTGTACTTCCATAAGGTGTTGAATTCACTGCTGATGAACCTCCATAATGTTTACCAATTCCATGTGGTGCTGCACTGCCATAACGGCTACTACTTGATGCTGGTGATATTCCTCCATGTTGACCACCAAAACTCCGCGACCCAGAGCTTGCTGTTTAACAGTGAAAATTATCTTAAGCCTTGCAAAAATTAAAAATGCAAGCATTTTAGATTTCAATTAGGACTGTTTATGTTTAATCAATGTATATGTGCTACTTGAATAACACAGCAGAAAGTATATTTAAGAAATTGAAAGGAAAAAAATTGTAATTTCCTTTAAATATATTGATATTTAAGTAGTTTTAATACATAATAATGTAAGTCAATCCTAGCTTAAGACACTGTAACTTTACAGATTACAAAAACTGTGCATCCTAAAAATTTAAAATTCAACGTTTCATCTCAGCAAAAGTAAAATAAACTTCTTACTTGGACAGCCCAAACTGTTCTCCTTTAGAGTACTGTATCCATCACAGTCAAAAGCCTGAAGTAAAAAAAAGGTATACAAGATTCTTTATTTGTATACATACAGGGTAGGGTAAATTATTTTAAAATATCTCTCATTCTGCTTACACTTATTCACCCTATACAAAACATCTAACAAGCATGTTGTTTTAAAACCTGTTTGAAATTATGACTTTTATTTGCCAATTTCTTGATAATCTTAATAATTAAAAGAAACCAAATGGCAAAAAAATGTTACCTAAGTTTATATAATTTATTTGAAATAAAAAATGGAGTACATATATCAATTTTAGGAGCCTGTTAATTCCACTTCCACGCATTCAGATAAACTAAAGTGAAAATAGCGGAATGTTCTGTTAAATGTTTCAACGGTTTAAAAGCAGTAAAGGATAGAAAAGGATTTATTGAGCAGAACTTTAAAGTTGGGAGTAGTTTTAGCGTGTAAGACTCGTTAGTACTTTGATCTACAAATAAGTAATATTTTATGAGTTATTTTTTGACAAAAGGACGATTAGGTATCCTAGATAAAGTCTTGAATTTTCGAAACACACCAATAGAAAAGGACATTGTCCCTTTAAAAACGGGATGAATGGTTACTTTATTTAAAGAGTTAAGTTGGAACGTACTTAACATATCTGAAAGCCCTATAAATGCAGCACAGAAACGTGCAAGAAAGGTTAACATGAGTTGAGATTGTTCAGTTTCTTTAACATATTGATAAATTCCCATGATACAACATCTGAAAACCTTTTCTCAAAATCTGCATCAGGAGAAGTCATCGCACAAAAAGACAGAGAGAGACAAAATTAAAATAAGGTCAATAATCAAAGCTATATGTCTGAAGATAAGTTTATAAGCTATATTTTCAAAACATGAGACTAACATCATGTCACATTCGAAACTGCTAGGTTCACCATGATCTACAACTAATATTCTGTTCTTCAGACATCAAATGCTACAAAATTTGTTTTGATTACAAAAATTACTATGCAGAACCAAATTGGTTAAATAATTGTGAATTATTTTATGCTACTGTTGCACAAAAAAGGTTAATGTCATCGAATCTAAAAACAAAAAACAAACAAAACTGTTCCTGTGTATGGGAGTAACAAAAACCTAATCTACCTGGCAGTGTCCATCCACACAATACCGGCTCTCATGTCGTTCACCATGTCTCCAACAAGGAGCTCCGTTAGGGATTTCCCAGCCTTGAGTCATGTATCCTCCACCTCGTTTGTGGCACCAGACATAACACGAGTGACTTTCTGTTTAACATAGACTTAAAAGATTTGTACAACAAAACTGAAAGGATTCCAAAAATAATGTTCACTTCTGAATTAAAAACACGCCATTCTTAGCTCTGATGTAATTGCCTTGTCATAAATGTGAGGATGGATGGAGGGGCCACATACAGATAGAACATAAATACATGTAGCTAAAGCAGATGTGGCCAATCTGCGGCTCTTCTAAAGCTGATATACTGCTTCTTAAAAAGCATATTTCACTATGCCTGTAATTTAAAGTAAAACGTTTTGATTTAAGGAGTATAAGAAAATCTATGAAAACATGTAGTTAAAAGATTTAATTGATGTTCCATTATATATAAAATAAGAGCACTGTGGTAAAAGCTACAATATTTATATTATTTTATAAAATAAAAGCATTTGTATTGTCCAGAACCACTGAGATGGCGCTACAGCGAGCCTCACTTTCGTCTTGGACTTTGTCAAAGTTACTTGTGTTCTCCTGTGGAAAAAGATATTTTAGATATGTGTGTGGCTCTTCAGTAGTGTACGTTGTGAAATTCTGGTTCCCACCCCTGATCTAAAGTGTTAGTTACAAGAATAAACAGTTAAGTAAAATCCAATATGTTACGTAATGCAGCTATTTAAATAATAAATGTATTAACTAAGGATTGGAAAATAATATGATTTAGGAGCATTGCGATTTAGTTGTTTGATAAATATACAAAAATAAAAAATAATCACAATTATTAGTACAAACCAATACATCTAGGCTTTAAGATACAGTTATAACAATGAAATAAAATACATTAGTATTGATACAAAGAATATTTGAAAATAAACAAGAAATATTACCATCATGATTAGGAAACTGAGTGCCACTGGTTCCAATATTACTGTTTATTCTGGAAGCTTTTTGGCAAGTGTTGCTAATGAAGTCATTCAATGAGCTGGGTTTAGACGATGAATAACATAGCTGGAAAAAAAATATATCTTAAAAAGGTATATCTAACAGTTCCTTATAATGACTCTTCTACAGCATGTTATGATCCATTAATTCAACTTTAATGTGTTCTTTGAACTGCACTCCTCATGAAGGCTTATCACGTTAAAATCTGGAGGTTCGATCCCTGCAAGAAGCATAGCATGGAAAGCCCATTGTGAAGCTTTGCTCTTAACAACAAACAAACAAAATTTGCGAACTATAATTTATCAGTTTTGTATGATAAACGTTCTTACTCGTGAGACGTCGCATAGCTTTACTCTTGTATGATAAACGTTCTTACCCGTGAGACGTCGCATAGCTTTACTCTTGTATGATAAACGTTCTTACCCGTGAGACGTCGCATAGCTTTACTCTTGTACGATAAGCGTTCTTACCCGTGAGACGTCGCATAGCTTTACTCTTGTACGATAAGCGTTCTTACCCGTGAGACGTCGCATAGCTTTACTCTTGTACGATAAGCGTTCTTACCCGTGAGACGTCGCATAGCTTTACTCTTGTATGATAAACGTTCTTACCCGTGAGACGTCGCATAGCTTTACTCTTCTGTCTTCACCATCACAAAACCTCCCTCCATTACTTGGCCTGTATAAATAAATATATGTATAAATACAACGTGCTAATCCACTGCAGGTAACTAACGACCTCAGTCAACAAAATATGCATTCTCATGACAATGGTTCCTTCTTTTAGGTTTAGTTTCACAGTTTAGTAACACGGAAGTGATTAGATAGTTTTGATAAACACGTAACGAAAGATGCATATTTTTAAAAGTTGTCCTTCCTTAACACCTGCCACACGAGCCAGCCCAGCATCTTTAAGTACTGAGCCAAGGACGATCAACAGAGCGGTCATTTCGGAAACCGGTGATTTAGGGCTATTTCGTTAGGTCTTGATGAATGAAGCTCGGCACAACTACTAAAACGAAAGACAAACAAACTCAAAAAACAACTAAATATTAACGAAACTATGGCATGATGAAATCCATGTGGATTATACTATGATTGTACAATAGTGGGCATTATTCCATGCATCATATTCTTATATTTACTATTCATTGCCGAAATGGCATTTTTAATTTGGGAATCGCTAGGGAAATCTTCTTGTTATTCATCGTGCATCAGCTTCAACTTCCAACACCACATCTTTGGGCCTTACTGTGTCGTTGGTTTCACAAAATACTGAAACTAATTATTTCTGGTATATGATCTCCCCCCCCCCCCGGAATTAACGATGCATGTTTTATGTTTCGCTTTGAATGCAGTAATCAGCTGATGAATCTCCGATTCAGCTGGTTTGTCAAATCTTCGAGTAAATTCAGATTAATCGCTACACTTAAATCATTACATTCACAACCACATCTAGAATATTTCGAGCATGTTGCATTGCTTCATCGTTATATCTTACATTTACAAGTTAACTTCTCCATGTTGGCTTTCATCGTTATGGGTCCGGTCACGGGTCCTGTCATAGGTCCGTTCCAGCGACATAGGCCTCAAAATTCATGCCAAACGTCTTCTTTTTTGTATATTCAAAACAATCCAAATCTTTCTGGAATAACTAATGTTTTGGGATCCACATCAGGATGCCAGGCTGGCTTGTGTGGCAGGTGTTAAAATGTTTGCTATACAAGATCGCTAAAATATTTTAGACAAATTACATCTTGGTAACTGTTAGGGTAACACTTCTGTACTTTTTTATAAGAACGTAAAATTAGGTATGTTATGTATCTGGTAACTGGTACAGTAACACCACAGTCCTTTCTTTATACTAGAAGAAATGACGCCCTACGGGCGGCTATTTGTGCTAGTAATTAATAATCGTAGTATTTACACCCCATTGAAAAAAAATATACATATATAGAAAAAAAGTGAAGATTTTCTATAAAATGATTTTTTTTTCTATGAAGTACTGCACGGGAAAAGTGTTCAGATTTTGATCTTTAGTCATACACAACTCATTGCATATAAATGATTCAATGTACAGAGCTCAAAATGTTCATAAATTTTACTCATATAAACTGTAATGTTTTTATATATTAAAAGTGGTACCGTTTATTGAAAAAATAATAGTTTTTTAAGAACTCCAGTTTCTTAGTACTACATCTAAAAATTACACCAATAAAGATATATAATCCAGCCCTCACGTATAGTCCTAGTGAAAGTCGTGTTCTTGTTGTGAGTAAAGTATTTTTATTTAAAATTGTGTTCTATTATAAAGTAATGGTTGTTGCATATAACACAGTTATTTTTCTAATTGTCTGAATCTTAAATACCTAAAGTGTGAAACTTTTTATTGATTTTAGTTTGAGGTGCCATTCAATACATAAGTTACACACATAGATACCGACATACACGCTACGTCCATTATAGTAAAGAAGAATACGAAATCAGGTAGTTGAAATATGTGGTAACTGACTACTGTATTTAATTTTAACTATATGGCAGTAAATGGTTAAAATACCAGGCTACCAGTACTGTAACACCACTATAGTAACTTCATACTTTTGATAATAATGTCAACGAATTACTACCTAGGTTGTTACACCTCCGTCTTGAGATCATTACACCAACAACTGTTACTCCTTCCCGAGTCATACAGTCAGAAGAACATGAAGAATATGCTGACCAAGAACTCCAAGCCCCATCTCTTGGTTGGGGATGATTTACTACTTGGTCACGTGATACACATTTCCCACTTCGACACCACTAACAATAGTTAAAAAACTTATGTAGTGAAACACTACTTCTATACATTATTTTTGATAATATAATTATTATTTGTTATACTAAACGTACTACAACAGAGTTCAAAAGAAAATCTTTTATAAGAGGTAAATATTGTAGTATTATCAGCAATTTGCAGTTCAAGGTTATTGCTTTTTTTTCATTTATGTTTATGGTTCTGTAATAACGAGCATTATATTCTTAATTAAAATTTATCTTATAAAATTATTACGTTTAAACTCAAACATTTTTATTTGCATTTATTTTGTGATTCAAAACTCATACCATATTCGTACCACAGGTGGTTCCCTCTAGTGCTGGATGTGCTGAAACTGAAGACGAATGACTGAAGGCAGTTTCACAACGTAGGTTTTTACAGATATCCTGCACATAAATGATAACAGCTTGTATTATAATAACTTCAACGTAGTTGAATAAAAATATTCTATAACTGCTAGCAGGCCTGGTCTGGCCTGGTTGTTAGGGTGCTCGACTTGCAATCTGCAGGTCATGAGATCGAATCCCATTACTGAACATGCATACTATTTCAGCCGTGGGGACGTTATAACGTGACGGCCAATCTCAATATTCATTCCGAATAGTTCAAGAACTGGCGACGGGAGGTGTTGACTAGTTGCTTTCTCTTTAGTCTATCATTTATAAATTAGGGATGGGTAGAGCAGATATCCCTCGAGAAGTTTTGGGCGATATTCAATAAATAAACTGCTAACATGGGCCTTGGGCAATTCAAATTATTCTATCCTTATATGTATTTTGTAGGTTCAGTTCTTTAACGGATAAATGTGACATAAGAAACATCTTTAGATACCTCAGGTGGTTATATCTTAATAAACCCTGAAAGAGTTGTGGCTAGGTTAAGGTTAAAGATAAAGAAACAGTTAATCAAATGCTAACATGTCAAATGTCATTATGATTTTAAAAAATCCATCAATGAACAAAAACTAAACAAAAAGGTTGAAGTCTTTGAATTTTTATCAATTCTTTTGTTACACCTTAGAGTAATTGCTTGATAAAGCTCAATAAGAGAAAGCAAAATTATAGTGGATTAAAATAACAATATTTTTTTACCTGGCCATAAAATGTAGTTGAATGTTGAACTCTTCTGCCGTAGTGGAGAGCACACTGTTGATCTGCATCATACAACTCGCCAGGTAATTTACCACGAGACTTCTGTTTCAAAATATCTGGATATGGACCCTCTACTGCTAAGCACTGAGCTCGTGAGGACCTGGAGGTTGATAAACAACCCAATGATAAAAAATTTCTATGTGTTGGTTCTTCTCATTTCCTTTGTTACATAAAATAATGAAGCTATGCCATAACTTAAATAATTGAACTTGACAAAGAAGAAATCTTTTAGATGAAACATTAAATTTTCGGACTGAAAATATAACAACAACTGTACTTTTATATGATTTAAGGTTATTATTATCTTCAGTGATACAAAATCGGTATAACATCTTTTATAGGTAGCTAGTAGTTTATTTTATCATAATTTTTAGCCTTTTTCCCCCTTCTGGCAGTTTTGGTTATTGGCTGTGCACTACGGAAAATACGTGAATACCTGAAAGTACATTCAGGCTTCATGTTCGGGTAAGCAGTGTTGACCTAAGGAGAAAATGGTTGTTTTTATGTGTAAATAATGACATACTTCATTTTCCCTTAAAGTTAGTGTCGTTAGTGATGCTGGTTATAATATTTAAAACTATTTTGAATATTGGTATTATTATCTCATGAAGCTGATCAAATTGAATGTAATTGTGGTCGAAAGCATTGATAGAACAAATCAACTTGTTTTAGTCAGCAAGGTTACCAACTGGTTAAACAAAAGGACACTCAACTGGTTTTGTTTTTCAATTAGGGCACTCATTTGGTTTTAGTCAGCGGGTTACCCAACTAGTTTTAGTCAGATAGATAATTCAAATAGCTTTAGCTTAGTTGTATATGGATTTATGACATTAAATACTTCTGCTCAGTATGATATACAGAGGGTTGAGTATGTTATATTAAAACGATTTTGAATATGAAATAAGTAAATCACGTGACAACCACAGCAGATATAAAGTCGTGGTGGAACGGCATGTAACAGAAATATATCTTGACATTCGTAAGTTATATGATGTTTTTGGGAAGAGCATGTGATAGTCCTTTCTGATGCAAAATATTCATACACTCATAAAATCTATCAGATGGAGGATTAAGAATATACGAGACAGGAATATTCATTGTGCTGAATAGCATTGGAAATTAAAAGAAGATGGATCAACTTGTGACACCAGGATCATCCAGAAAGAGACCTGCAACAAGTCGTACCTCGGCCACTATAAGCAAAGTGTGGCGTCTAACATCATATGAGAATTTACGAACACAAAGGCCAGTGGAAAAAGCTGCCTAATTGGCCCAAGTAGCACTACGCATTATAATCAAGAAGCATCTCTGCCTGGAAAAGTGACTCAAATCATGTGTACACAAGTTGATGCCAGGATATATCCGTTAAACTGTTACATACCTCAAGGAAGTGGGGAATAAAAAGAGTAATTATGCTCTTCCATATAGTCACCATTTCAGCGCCTATGGATTTCTGTGCAATTGGACTGTTGAAACGTCTGTTACGAAACTTTCGTCTTCGTATACTAGATGAATTATAGAAAGCAAGAAAGGAGGAGTGGTGTACTTTGGACATGATAGCTTTATGACACAAACTCTTGAGACAAAAGCTACACTAGAGAGCTATTGTCAAGAGTCATTGGTATTGGACGTGGCGACATGCACGACGTGATGAGGCTTCAAAATTGTTTTTATATAAATTATTCAACAGGATAGGTTTCATTAATTTACAAACTCCGTTTTAGTACTGATTTGCATAGTTAGTTTACTTTTGATAAATCGCATACATTTAGTTGTCTTTCAATAAAAACTTCTACAAATGATTCTCAACATACAGTTACTTGTCTCTTACCTAAGAAACTTTTCCAGGTATTCCCTACTACAATGTGACCAAGTGGACTTTCCAGACCCCAGTGTTGGGGACATGATGTACTTGCTGGGGTTACAAGTGTTTCCATCTTGACTACCATCATGTTCCATGCCTAAACTGAAGGATGTGAGAGTTAGTTTTTATTTCAGTCAACAAACTCCACTCGTATTTTGTATGAAATTTTGTTGTTTTTTATACAATTTGAATAAAGAAAATAAATGTACCGTAGAGAACATTATACCAATCATGTTAACAATGTGTGAATATAATGTAGTTGCCTTGATTTTCCAGTTAAATTAAAACGAATATTTCTGTTGGTATATATAATAAGAGAAGTATTAGACGTATATTGTTTATCAATATATGTGTCCACTAACCTGCAACTGATAAGGTCACTATTGATAGTGAGATAAACATGAAACGTAAAGCATTTTATAAACTATTAAAATAATTAAAGCACTCTAACCATCAACGTTTTTTTTTTCTGTAGACAATTTAAAAACGTTATTTTGAGACTGTCAACGGTATCAAACAGACACCCTACATGTTTCGACATCCAAACACGTCATCCTCAAGAGTGTGGACGACGTGATTGGACGTCAGTACATGTAGAGTCTGTTTAGAGACCGCTAACAAATTGTGTTTTTAAAAAACGTTGATGGTTTGAGTGCTTTAATTATTTATATATCTAAACAAGTACCTTGAATTTTAATATTTTAATATTAAACCATTAAAAGTTTCACTACAGATTAGGTGGAACATATTTTTTACATGCAATTACTGACAATGAAACTGTAAGACGTTTTTCTCTGATGTTACCAATGAAAGTAAGAGTTACAACTGGGATAAAAAAACTGGCTCTACCTGTGCCCCATCTCGTGAGTAGCCACATGTACTGTTTGGAAGCTTGTTCCTTCACTGATCGTACAGCTGTTTAGGGAGTTACACATGCCGCTTACAGGTGCCAAACCTATAACAGTTAAAATCACTCCAGTAACCTTTTCATTTTGTTTTTTATTATTTTTTCTGTTTCGTTTCCATCGTAAATGGGCACCATCATGGCATTTCTACTTGCATTTCTCTCACCCTCTTCATTACTCGATTATATCAAAATAGTTTAAGAATTTCTACATTAAGAGAGGTAGTAAAACTAATAACTTTATGATATCAAAAAACAAAGAAAATGGTGTTCAAAGTGCACGAAAAAGACAGATAACAATACACCAACAAATTTGCAGATTTACATGATGACAGACTAAGTTAAGTTATGATAGTTGTAAAATATCAAAACAATCTACATACCAACAACATGGCGTTTTCTACGTCCATTTTTATCCAACACGTACATGTTGATTCTAACAGAAAGAAAAATAAAACAAATATTGGGAAGCAATTAAAGTTACTATTTACTTTATGCTGCAAGTTATGTGCGTCGACTGATAATAGTTAATTCACATTTAGACAGATGCTGGACTATAATTCTGTTCCAAATATTGTAGCAACATAACCATATTCATTGCTACGATAGTAGCGCTAGCAATCCTACACACTCTACACAGATTACAGATTACAACACGGCTAAAAACTTATCCAGATTGCATATTATCCTGATAAGACAAGAATGGAAATCTTACCAAGACAGCAATGGGACTAATTATCTTTACCAAGAGCACATCAGGGCTCAATATTCTATTTAAGTCAAAACAGAACTAAAGATCTTACGCGGATCACAGTAAGAGTAAAGATTTTAGTTAGATAATAATTTGACTATACATCTTTCCAAGAAAGCACAGAATGAAATATCACAGCAGATCACAGCAAAACTAAATGTAATTTCCAGATGAATTTTAAATTCGTACTTAGCTCACTAAAAATGTAATAACAATTAATATTTAAAGAGGAAAAACCGAACATTCTTTTTCAACTGTTTGATTTTCCTATCCAAAATAAGTGAACAATTTTATCTTGATCGTTCTTCGATCGTAATAGTCGCAAAATATAGAAAAAATACTGTTTGTAATGGTTTATATTCGTAATAGTCGCAAAATATAGAAAATATACTGTTTGTAATGGTTTATATTTATTCTATCGCCCCCCCCCAGTAGCACAGCGGTATATCTGCGGATTTACAACGCTAGAATCCGGGTTTCGATACCCGTGGTGGGCAGAGCACAGATAGCCCATTGTGTAGCTTTATGCTTAATTACAAACAAACAAATTTATTCTATCTTCAACGTGGCAAGGATCTAGTTTCAAAAGAAATTCTCAGAATTTCTCAACCGGGTTGTTCGGGGGATATTGTTTTCTCCCTTCGCCCCACTTGTGTTAATTTTACTTAGCTAAAGTGAAGATTGGTTATTCCACTATTCAAGTAGAGGTTTCTAAAACGATTGATACTGTTGGCCGGGATTGATTTTCAATTACTCTGTAAAAAGGAAAACGAAAAGTTTAGTCTATTTAATAATAATGAAAGCGTTTTATTTTCTTGAATACGAGTTTTTACAATTTGTACAAATTCCACGAAAACAACAGCAAGTCTGTCTTCATACGAGAATAACATCTCAAGAGATGTTCCATTTACTTGCTAATTTTCTCGTGCATACAGCATTTTTCCTATCTTTATTTCTTCGTTGAAGACACAAATTTACCATTTGCAGCACTGATTTAATTAATTACATGATTCAATAATCAAATAGTCTCGCGTAACATGCATTTTGTTTGTTTTTTGGTAGGGCAAAACCACATCAAGTTATCTGCTGTGTCCACCGAAAGGAATCGAACCTGGATTTTAGCATTGTAAATCTATAGACTTGCCATCAGGGGACAACATGCGTTTTATACCATTCTAATCGTTTACTGAACTTTAAAGAAAATTCTAGATATTAAGCCACGAACCCGACACGTGGCATTCAAATTCCCCTAACGAAAAACAATACAAACGTCTAAGTTATGAAAATATTGCCTACAAAGTATATTTCAAACACACACACACACACACATAAAAAAACGTTATATTATGTAAAAATAAGTTGTAAACTGTAATTTCATTAGTAGAAAGGCTTCATCAGGCTTACCGTTTGTGCAGTTAACTGACCACACACACATGTATATACATATTTGTAAATTCTTACCCCGATAATAATAAGGCATGATCCCAGAGAGGTATAGTTCCACGACGTCGGTGTTGCCAGATGCAGAAGTTTGTCAGGTAGGTGTCAATGTCATGAGACGGTTCCAAGTCCTATAGAGACAGGTTTCAAAATATAAAGTTAGGATACATTTCGCACCTATAAACGATCTTTAACCCTATCTCACAGATACAGCAGTTCTAACTTCGGAAGAGAAGTAAAACCTGATTATTTCAAGATCTCATAAGAGCAATTATTTTACTAAATCTGAATGAAATAAATAAGGAAAGAATCAGGATATTAGTTTATTGTTTGTTATTTTTTATTGTTTTCACAGGCAGTGACATAATTCCTCATCCCACCAGTTATCCTGAAAAATGGTGATATTGATATATTGATCATTTTCTTAATTAAAACCAAGCTATCCTTTAGCACTGATGAAATAGTGTGGCAACCAGAAAATATGAGCTATCCCATAACAAATAGGATCTACTGGAATGATAAAGATATGTTTTTCAGTAGTTTTCAATCTATTCTTTATTCCACTGAGTACAACATCACTGGCTAATGACATGAAGAAATGATGTATTTAACATCCAGCCTGCGAGTCAATGAGACCAAATTGGGGAATTGGGTGTTACGGTTTCCCGTATTCCAGTGAGAACCAAAAAAAGTCTCGATCTGTTACCCTCACAAAACCACATTTTATTGGCAAAAAAATTCATCTCTCAATAGTCTTTGGTGCGAAGATGTGAACTTTATGGGTTGATTTTATTTTATTCCTCTCGCACAAAATAGCTGAAGTGTTCATGTTCAGACAGGTATCGCGCTTAGCCACTTTACAACAATCAAGTAAACTTTGGCCATCTATATAGATAGAACTTGAGAAAACGGCTTTAGAGAGCTGAGGAACCATATCTTGTATTGCCTAACATGTTCGGCCACTACTCTCAATGCGAATTCAGTCTCGCTGGTGAGAAGTTCATATTTCAGATATAGCAAGCAATTCGAATCTCTATTCAGAATATATATAAGAGAGAGAATGTCGGAAAGCTTTGTTTGGGAATTAACCAAACATGTCTCCCTGACTTGCAGACTGGATGTAAATATAAATAAAAAATATAAAACTTCTTTTCTTGAAGGTCATGCAAGAACACATTAACCCCAAGTTTGTGGTTCACGGGAAATGATACACGGAATTATTCACTATCATTAGTTCCATTGACAATAATCTTCAACCTGCAAGAACTGAACGCTGAAACTTCGTCCCCCTTACAACATCTACCAGCACAGATTTACAAAAAATAAACAAACTTAAAAAAGTATAGAAGATTTGGATGACATGTCCATCCAGAAAGGATGTTAATTAACTCTTCTCTGTGAGACAAACCATTTCAATTTTGATTGAATTCAAGCCAGTTAAACCATATTAACCTTTGGTTAACTAATTTTAATAACATGTTGATCATCAGTCCAATAACAAAATTAATAAACACAAAACTTTTCTGCTAATAGACTAAGGGCCCAGTTTTTTTTTTGCTTTTTTTTATATTTCGGGCAAAGCTACTCGAGGGCTATCTGCACTACCCGTCCCTAACTTAGAAGTGATAGACTAAAGGAGGACGTCTAGTCAACACCACCCACCGCCAACTCTTGGGCTATTTTTTTACCAACGAACAATGGGATCGACTGTCACATTATAACTCTCCTACGGCTGAGAGTTTGAGAATGTTCGGTGACAGAGGTTCGAACCCGCGATCAGGTTGCGAGACGAGTGCCATGCAAGACCAACTCAAATTGATATATACAACATGGCTAATTAAGTAATTAACATGTTACACTTTTGTTACGGAAAAAAGTAATTAAGAAGTCAACTTTTTCGGCAAAGCATCCCTCGTCAGTTCCTGAGGAAGGTCGTTTGATTAAAACGTTGACCGTTTAATTCTCCTCACATTAGTTTTAGCCATTTGTCCGTAGAATATGTGTATTTATGCTAAAGGTTAGGAAGGTTCATCTCTACCCATATGACATCAGCCTTGAAATGTATTAATGCAGGTGTTAACTTTAGGCGAAAACCTTTATTCATATTAATTTTATATTATGTACTTACAAGCACTGTGTAACTTGGAGTCTTTATGATCACCGTGCATTTAAGTAGATAATATCATTTCTTTTGTGTGTGTGTGAAATGGACTAAGAAAATTATAGCGAAGAAACATTAAAGAAGAATACGTGAAGATGAAACATGAAACTGTGTGTATGTGTGTGCGCGTCTTCGTTTGTTTCGTTTATTCGATTTTTGTTTTAGCGCAAAGATACGCTATAGCATATTCGCGCTATGTCCACAGCGAGAACTCTAATCTCGGACTTTAGCGTTGTAAGTTAGTAAACTCACCGCTGAACTAACGGGAAACGTTTGTGTGGTTGTATCTTCCTTTAAAAGCACTGCCAAAAATAGATTTTCTGTTTACACTTTGCGTTCTGCCACCTAAAATGTTTCCACTGAAATTTGCACTAGTCATTAAAGATATTTTCATGTTAAATCTCTGTTTTCTATGTTCTTTTGCAACATCCATAAGCATGAGATAATATAGAAAATGAATAAACAAAATTGTGTGATAAAAGAAGCAGAAAGGAATTATGGGATATAGTGTAGTATAAATTGGAAAAAAATAGTAAAAAAAAGGTGAACTGCAGCTTACTGAATAGTGAGATGTAGAAAATGAACATCAAAGAAGGATAAAGGAGAAACGAGGAGGAATAGAAGATTGGATGATGAGGGAGGAATGGACAGTGGAGTGAATGTACTCATACTTGATGGCTAAATAAGCATATATATGAAGTTATTTCTTACCGAAGGCTGAACTTTCAGTATGTCAAGTAGCACCAGAGTTAAATCAGGTGAGCGGTTTCCCAAAGAGGAATCCTTGAAAAGAAGTTGTACCTAATAAGAAAGTAAAATCGAAAAGGTAATTGGATTTTTTTAGTATATCCACTTAATGTTGCCTCAGTGATCAGAGATGCTAAGTGTGTTCATAAATACAATAGTGTTAAAGTTGTTCTATAATAAATTACAATATGGATATAGGTGTCAAATTAGACCATACTGTGTGAAAAACGTTAAACATTTCGAGTAAATACAGAGGTTATGTACGTTATATTAAAACGATTTTGGAGTCTCATCACAGTAAACACTGCCACGTCCGGTCATACTCTGTTTGACGACCATATTCATCACAGTAAACACCGCCACGTCCGGTCATACTCTGTTTGACGACCATGTTCATCACAGTAAACACTGCCACGTCCGGTCATTCTCTGTTTGACGACCATGTATCGTCATAGTAAACACTGCCACGTCCGGTCATACTCTGTTTGACGACCATGTTCATCACAGTAAACACCGCCACGTCCGGTCATACTCTGTTTGACAACCATGTTTTTGACAATAGACCTGTAGCGCAGTTTCTATTGCAAAAGTCTCCGTCATAAGCCTGTTATGCCCAAAGCACACCACTCCTCTCTGATTGTTGTTCACATCTAGTAAATGAGGACGACGGTTTCCAAGCGTCCATTCCAAGAGTACGATCATACTAAAATCCGTAGAACTGGTCTGGCGACTTGACCGTTATGAATAGCTGTTTCATTCTCCAACTACTTGAGGTTTGCAACGGCTGAACGGGAAGTATGACTGGAAGCCTCATCTTGGTTTCATTTCCAGACGGAAATCATTTTTGATTATGTCACATAATGTTGCCCAGGTCACGTGGACAGCTTTTGCCATTGACATTTGTGTTAGTTGATTTTAACCTGTTACGAAACAAAGCATTTTGCTTATCATGGATGGGGTACGATTTGTTGCAGGTCTCTTTCTGGGTGGTCCTGGTTTTATAATGCTATAAAGTGAAAGAAATACCTAAATCTTGGAAATCCTAAAACCCCGATTTGAGTGCTTGAATATTTTGCATTGGAAAGGGATATTACATACCGTTCCAAAAAGTAATAACTTTTCGGAGGTATTACATTACCCATGCAACGTCAAATAATGTCAAAATGTAGTACTGATACAAAGCGTTCCACCGCGATTTTATATCGGTTGTAGTTGTCAAGTCACTTGTTGGTTTGCATATTCAAAATCGTTTTGATATAATATATTTAACCTTCTGCATTGTGAACGAGTCACTTAAAAGCTTTAGTAGTATCCTTTAACAGTTTTATCAGTCTTTGCTTACTTTAATGCCACAACGTAAGTATAACAACTGAATTGGTGGGAAACAAAAGAGTGTCTGTTGAAGCAAAATATTATTTATCAACTATTGCTACAACAAATTATTTTGTCGTTTAAAGATCTGAGCTTTATTTTAATCAACTAAGTTATAAAAATACATAACTATTCTAAACAAACTACGATCAGTCAAGTTTAATAGTTGTGTCTAAATAATCCTTTGATCTTTTCATTACAAAAAATATATCACATTTTATATCCCAAAAATAAAACCATTTTATTTTCAAACAGATAGTTCTAAACATGTAGATGAGATTCTTAACAGGTGATTTTATGTAGCAGTTTAAAATTTTAGCTTTTTACACATTAATGTACAAAAGACAATCAAATTCTACTGTAACAAAACGATTCTTAAAATTTTGGTGTTTGTTATTATTAACACGAACGGCACCTTATGTGATGCATGGGCTAAACGGCTGGGTAAGAGACTTTTAAATATGAGGTTGGATTTGAAGGTCCGTGTTTCGCCGTTGCATAAAAACTAGCTCTCCGAACTCTGGAACATGAGTGTGTTACAAGAGTGACAGTCAAGTTCCACTATTCGATTAGAGTAACCCAAGAGTTGGCGGTGGGAGCCGTTGACTAGTTGCTTTTCCTCTAGTCTATCAGTTCAAAATTATGGACGGCTGGAGCAGATATATTTAGTGTAGCTTCGTGCGAATATCCACAATAAGTATCACCTTAAAGCTCACGCATAGCTATCCCTAAGTTAGAGCTTCTGACCAGAGGGAGGACAAGCAGTAAGAAACACGTTGCCTACACAGCTGCTCTTAACTGAATACTGAATTGACTGTGAGAGCTATAACGTCCCCATATTTAAAGATCTGAAAGTACAAAGGGTGTTCAGCGACATATCGTGGCTCAAACACTGGACCTTCCGATCCCCAGCCCGACACACGAACCATTATGCTACACTTGAGTGGATTGTTTCAAAAAATTATCAGTTCTATTTTAGGACGTTTCTTTTTTTGGAAATCTAAAAATTAGTATTTTTAAGGTTATATTCTCATTTATCCAAATATCCATTTTCTCTTTTAATATTACATACTATTCATTTTTGCATCATAAATGATATTATAATACAGTGCATAAAACGGAGTAGTGCTTACTGCATTCATAACAGCGAGAACGTAGGTTGCAAGATGCTGGTCTGTGTCGGTAGGAAAGGCACGTCTCATCACCTGGTAAAATGATTCATCTGTAAACACAGCAGTCTCTATTACAGGGTTTCGACGAACAATATTTCGTTTCTGTCGACGTTCTGGGCCATCATATAACTTGAAAACAGCTGCGTTTCTTTTTCGAATATTATGGTAAATGTGACCTGAATTAAAAAAAGAAAAAACAGATTGTACATTGAGTTTTTTGAAGACAAATTTCCATGAAAAATTTATGAAAAGAACAGTGTGAACAAAAAAGCAATTATAGGTTACTGTGTTTACTGTGCCGGTACTCACTAAAACTCAGCATTGGCTCTTTTTTGGAATTCCAATTGGAACACTGCTCCGTCTTTCAAAGCCGGAAAGGACTTCCGTTACTTTTAGTATTTCTTGCCAATTCACTTTCAGTAGTGCATGAAGAGGTACCGTTAAATTACAGAAAACTTTATATACAACCACTCCTTGCTTCTTCAGACCGGCCTTTTTCTTCTTATCCAAAGGTGTCATACTTCTTTCAGGTGAATTTCACCACTAGGTGAATGTCTCAATCTCTTACCCAAAAGAACTGAATATTGTTTCACGTGACGCATGGTCAAGTCTTTTAAATGTCAACATCCTTCGGTAAGATCATACTTTCAAGAATAAACGTTATACGCTTCCCATTGAGTTTCAAAAAGGAGTTAGTATGTATTATTGTGTTTAAAAAATAAGAAACTTGAACATTTATTTTCTCCAGATTAATATTAGTGACTTTCAGAATCTCCCTACTAACACAGCAGCTTTAAACTTCGTAGTAAAGCAAGCTGGAAAATGCACATAACCAAGTTTACTAACTTCTCTAATAAAAGTGACGATCTTTCGAGAAAATACACTCTCCTTATCAATTTCATACCAAAGGGGTCAACAAGCTTTTTAGTGACTTTGTTACAATCCCCAACTTTAAGATAGGTTATAATCCAACCTGTACGGATAAATATTTTATGTATCTAATATACAACCTGGGAAAAAATGCAAGCGAGATCGCAACATTTTCACATCTTATAGTTTCAAATTTGTCATATTAAATAAAATAAATACTAATTAAAACAAAAACTTTTAGGACTAAAAAGAAGCTTTCGTTATAATTTCGATTTGGATAATTAATCTTTACATAAAAGAGAAAAATTAATTATAGTTAACAAAAAGTTAGAACATTTATTTAATTATAACTACCATGAGGACATGAATACTGTTCCGAGCTTTTAGCTTTCACAACCAGGTGTGGAGACAGTCGTTTTCCCTCATAGCCGAGTCTTCTTGTAACATTGTCTGGTAATGGATGGATAGTAAACGTGTCGGTCTCCGTTTCAATGATGCCTCTCTATTAAAAATCATATTAACAAGTATCAATTTTGAAAACTATAACAGATTTTGATATTAATTTAAAACTTTAAAAGATGCGAGATGAAGCATTAGAACATAATACAAACTCCTGCAAGTAGTTTTACATTATATTCTACTGTATTCTAAAAATAATAATAAGGAGCAAAACGTCAGTGGCAGACTGGCAAATAAACAAGTCATTTTTCTTCTATGCAGAGATAAAAGTGCTTGAATCCAATTGTTTCATAGTGTTAGTTATGCCATCAGAGTAGAATTGAAAAATAAAAGAAACTGCTGATGTTATTAAAATATATCTTCCCCATGTATGGGATAATTATGAAAAATGTTTGTGATAACGATTATAATGTCCTTTTAATCCCGTTTGACGAATGGAGAAAAGTGAAATGTGATAACATTTTTTTGTTGTACCTCGCATAACCTAGTGGTTAGGACGATTGACTCGAATCACCGACGCCGAGCACGCTCGACTTTTTCAGCTTTTGGGGCATTATAAACTGACGGGCAATGCCATTGTTTGTTGACATAAAAGCAGTCCAAGAGTTGATGGTGATGACTTCCTTGTAGTCTATCGTGTAGCTTTACGCGAAATTTAAATCGATACATTGTGTAATTTTTTTTAAATTATGTAAATAAATTTATTAAAAACAAAATACGAATATTTAATTGCCAAACTTAGTAGTGAAGTGAAGTGAAAAAATTCTGTAAAACTTTGTTTGACTGTCTATTCAAATAAAAGCTTCAGTGTTACATTTAGACATCGTTAAGCTAAGTGCCAGTTTCTAAGTGTCTCTGTTCAGTAATCTTACATTATCTACAAGTTTTTAAAAGGAGTGAAAAAAGATTAGTGCTGTAATTATTGTTTTTGAACTCTCAATAACTTCTGATCAAACAAGCTACTTACATTGATCATGACTATACATTTATCCAATAATGGATATAGCTAACTAATATATCGTTCTTGCCTATAATGATTAGAATGCATTGATTCCTCAGTTGGATACCCTCGCTGTTAATGACATTAAAAAGTGTACTTGTATTTGCGACATTTAAAAACATGATTCAAAAAGAAATGTAACAGGTAGAACATATAACCAAAGGTACATTCTTTACAAACTAACGTAAAATAATCGTTTAAAGGCGAATTACTACAATCTCTAAGAGGTTTATTAATTGTGACAGCTGCTAAATGTCATCAGGTACTAAATGTACTTAACAATCTCTAAGAAGACTATTGATTGACAGCTGCTAAATGTCATCAGGTACTAAATGTACTTAACAATCTCTAAAAAGACTATTGATTGACAGCTGCTAAATGTCATCAGGTACTTAATGTATATAACACGCCAGAAGAAGACTATTGATTGTAGCAGCTGCTAAATGTCATCAGGTACTTAATGTATATAACAATCTCTAAGAAGACTATTGATTGTGACAGCTGCTAAATGTCATCAGGTACTTAATGTATATAACAATCTCTAAGAAGACCATTGATTGTGACAGCTGATAAATGTCATCAGGTACTTAATGTATATAACACGCCAGAAGAAGACTATTTATTGTGACAGCTGCTAAATGTCATCAGGTACTTAATGTATACAACACGCCAGAAGAAGACTATTGATTATATGTGACAGCTGCTAAATGTCATCAGGTATTTATGTATACAACAATCTCTAAGAAGATTATTGATTGTGACAGCTAATAAATGTCATCAGGTGCTTAATGTATATAACACGCCAGAAGAATACTATGGATTGTGACGGTTTAGTCGCGTTCGAAACGTAGCCTCGTTATGAAGGCTTCATGACTAAATAACACGCATGTAATTGAGTATTTGAAGGTACCACAATTTTTCAAGACAGGTGACTCTTAACGAGAAACAGTAACAGACTATCTATATTTTCTCTGTTATTCATACAAAACTAAAACCACCTTTTTTTAAACGTATTGGCTATTCGAATTAGTAGTTTTGTGGTGATCTACTTTAGAGACAAAATAACAACTTTGTAGGAATGTTGAAAACACAAATCTCAAGGAGATAAGAAAATTAATCTCTAGTTTGTTCGAACCCAATATTTTTTTATTGAAATCAATGCTATAAAAGTCCATAACTGGTGTTTATTTCCGTTTTACTCTCTATTTTTTGTACTTTATAGCGATTTTCAGTTTCAACTTTCACTCAAACGAAATAATTATTTTTGCCATAGTTTTATCTGGGGATATTTCTATCTACTGTTAATGCTTAATATTCAGTACTCATAATTCGCATAATGCAAATGTCATCTGGATGTCATTTGAATTTATAACTGATCTAAAATAACGCCGTTATGATGAAAAGTGCTCTTGATAAATTATCTAATCTAGTTGACCTAAAAAGTGATTTATGCTCAACTAAGCCTAAACCTTCATCAAAGTTAAAAAAACACGAGATAAGTTGTTTGAACAACGAATGTTTGTAATGTTTTATTTAAACAACATTGATTCATTTCCTTTTCGATGAACTAAGCTAATATAAATGGCCCAGGTATTTATTTGCACTTTAGACACTAATAATATTATATTGGTTTTGAATTTTCTCATAGTTAATCAGCAGTTGTTACTGAAATGAGGCCAGGTGGTTAGGGCGCTCGACTCGCAATCTGAGGGTCGCGAGTTCGAATCCCCGTCACACCAAACATGCTCCCCCTTTCAGCCGTGGGGGCGTTATAATGTGACGGTTAATCCCACTATTCATTGGTAAAAGAGTAGCCGAAGAGTTTGGCGGTGGGTGGTGAAGACTAGCTGCCTTCCCTCTAATCTTACACTGCTAAATTAGGGATGGCTAGCGCAGATAGCCTTCGTGTAGCTTTGCGCGAAATTAAAAACAAACAAACAAACAATATTGAAAGGAGTGGTTCCTGAGAATAGAAGACTGTGAACGTAAAGAATTAAAATCGTGAACTGTGAATTGATTTCCATTCAACAAGCTCAAGTAGGCTTTGAGTAAGTGTTCACTGTGGGGAATCGAACCCCGGATTTTAGTGTTGTAAGTCCGTAGACTTAACCCTGTCCCACCGGAGGACACAAGGAATTCATTTTAGGCAGGTCCTTTCGAAAGTCTATTTGTCTCCCCCTATACAGTTTTCACTAATAAACTTACTTATGTGAAAACCTAAAGGATGTTTTTCTGATATGTTAAAAAACAAATTCCCTCCCATTTTGTGTCCTAGTGTAGAGGTGCATACTCGTAACCAGAAAACTATTAATAAATAAAACGTGGGTATAGAAGCCACAAGTCAATTTTTTTATAACTTTGTATTGCTTCTTCATCCACATCATCTTTCAATTTTTATGTTTTTAGTCTGAGGTTTATCCAAGCATCTTTATAACTTCGATGACGAGGAACCCACTTTGAGACTAATAATGGTGGGAGACGGCTTGAATGGGTAATGAAGAAAAACTTGTCGAAACGTTGTACATTTGCTGTTATGTTAAACTTATATTAAAGTTTTTCTTCATTACCCATTCAAGCCATTTCCAACCATTATTAGTCTCAAAGTGAGTTCCTCGTCATCGAATTTGAATTCATCACGGCGATTAATCGAGGTTGTGTAAGTCTAACTCAAACATTCAAATAACCTTCCTTAAAAATTATTTTGAAAAGAGTCATGACAAGATTTCAAAGAAGGAATTCAGAAAACAGTTTTTTTAATATGTCAAGAGCAATTACTATAAAATCAAGATAATCTTGAAAATTAGTGTACATAACTGTTTTATACGTTAGCTAAAAGAGAGATGAAAACAATTTGTAACCACAAATAAAGATCAACTGCAGGTTTTTAGTTGAAAAACAATTACCCAGAGGACGTAATTAACAAAGCTTTTTGTGAAGCCAGGTTTTTTAAATGAAAAAACCGTCAATGTAAAATAAGACAATTCAAAATTATAACATTTTGTTGTTTCAGCTTATTGTCCAAAGGTATAAAAATATTAATTTTAAGTCACAGTTTTTCGTATTATTTAGATTTCGGATTAGATTGTTTGTTTGTTTGTAATTAAGCACAAAGCTACACAACGGGCTATCTGTGCTCTGCTCACCACGGGTATCGAAACCCGGATTCTAGCGTTGTAAGTCCGCTGTGCCACTGGGGGGGGGGGGCTCGGATTAGATTTGATTGTTTATGTTAAGCCCAAAGGTACACAATGGGCTAAAAATATGCCGAAAAATTATTAGGTTATACGTGACAATGGTCTCGTAAAATTGCAAAAGAAACAAGTATTATTACAGGTAATAATATAACAAACGTTGTGTTTTTGTGCGCTGTAAGATTTGCTGATAATACTAATTCACTCCGGAACAGTCAAGGTATAGTAATCTTTTCTCTCAAACGCTTAATAAGCTACGATTCTGTTAATTGTGTCTTTACGTTAAAATGTACAGTTTGTAGTGAATTTTATGTAGGTCGATCTGAGAAAGTTCGAGCGTGCATAAATTTACACAAGTCACATTTGAGAGATCCAAGTAATAGCCCAGTGACATGCTCTAAACATGTGTTTTTCCCGAAAGCCCCTGGTTATCTTAAAGAACCTTTGTCTTGTTGTTTTTATTTTTGGTTTTCTGGAAATCTGAAATAAAAAAGTTTTTATGAACAATGTTTTATTAAGAAGTTTCAATGTTGCCTGGATCCTTAACTGAGACCTCATCATGGAACGCTTTCAAGATGGTTCTGGTATTTTATATTTTATGGCAAAGCTACTATAGCTATCTGCCACCGTCCCTAATCTTAAACTACTGAACAGAGAGAATGTTTTGCTTGTTTGTAGTTAAGCACAAAGCTGCACAATGGGCTATGTGTGCTTTGCCCACCACGGGTATCGAAACCAGGTTTCTAGCGTTGTAAGTCCGCAGACATATCGCTGTACCACTGGGTGGCAGGGAAAAGGTAGATAGTGAACAACACCCTCCCGCCCACCATCCACATTAAGGGATTGACTGTCACTCTTATAATACACCAGAGCTCAAAATACGGGGAATAATTTGTGGTATTGCACTTTTTGGAGCTCGGATCACTAGATCCAAAATCCAAAGCTCTACTGTAGTGCCAATTCGCGCCCTAAGATGGCTCTAAAAAAGTGTTATTTTTCCTGCCAGCATGTCCTTTAGACTGAATATTTTTATCCTAATTATTTTGATTTGTATAGGAAAGTTGAAGCTGCCAAATAATTTGCTGCAAAAGAATACATAAGTACTATATTATCATGTCTTGTGTTCCCTCTTTTTAAAGGGGTGGAGTTGTTTGTTTTAACGTATAGACTTTTGAATAACATTTTCCTAAACCCTAACTTTCTGTTCATTAACCCAAAGACACAATCGTCTTAAACGTATTTATATTTATTACAGATTTTTTAGCTTGTTAAATAGCCAGAAATCTTGATTTACAAACATTACGTATTGAGACAACATTTTATTCTACGCTGTTAACGAAGGTAGCTCATTATATAAATGAGGGAAAGACGTGCAATTTTCTCAAGGATGGTAAATTTCCTTTAAATATAATTACTCTGTAGTGGAACCTGTGTTATTATAATTTTTTCGTTCCCTTCCCTTTATTGTTTCAATGAATATGAAAGGATATTCACCTATAGGACTATAAAGAAATATCTTATAACAACGTGAATTTGGCTAAAGAAAATGAAGAAATCTTTACTCTAAATAAAGATAAATTTTATGCTTGTTTTAATTTACTTACATACGCATATAATACATGTGTTTTTTTATAACCTTACCATTCCATCACACAGAGCTAAGGCCGCAGAAGTATTAGGATGCGAAAGAGCGACGCCATGATATAAACAGTCAGTGTCATTACTAAGTCCAACAAGATTTTTCTGAGAAGTGAAAAACCTGGGTGACAAAAGATTCCGGTTTTTCGTGAGCCGTAGCTTGAAGAGCTCTCCGAAAGCTCGTACGTCAACAATAGTGTCACCAGCATCGCCGTCGCCACCAACTGACCGTCGAGATCTCAGCAAAGCACTGTTCTGTAGGTCAGTTACTTGGTACTCTGGTACTGTGGGAATAAAATAAAGTAGATGCTACTTATTTCATACCTGTAATATGCCTTAGTCAGTAGTATCATATCATGGATACTCACGTGTTTTACATCATCTCTCTTACAGTAAACGTGTAATATGAAAATAAAGCATTATATCGTACATGGAAAAGACAAAAACCCCATTTCAGTTTTCAATAGATAAGGTACCTTTTATTGGAGATCGAAGAGAGTTAAGTCCATGTACGTTTTTTTAGGTTAAAATGAAAAAAAATCAGTCTATTTTGTGAGCATTTGCTCAGATTATTTCAAAAAAAAAACATGGAAATTTTAGCCTTTTTATTTTCTTTAAAACTTGAATTACTGACTTTCAGAAAGAAAAAGACTCGCAGTTTAATTGTTCCCGCTCTAAGTTAAAACAACTTGAACAACTCCAATGAAGAAAAAAAAGTGAATATCGATTTATCTATTATTCAAGAATGAAAGTTTACTTCAAAGAAAATCATTATTTGCACACAAACTGCCTTCTTAAAAGTAGTAATTTTTAACTTACCAACGTCATCATAACCTAGAAATAATATTCGTTCTTCTTTCGTCATAAGTTGGTCAAGAGTGGGCTCAGCCTAATTTAGAAATAAAAACAAAAATAGTAATTGACCTTTAATAATAGAGAAGTAATGTTGTACAAATTATCTATTGTTCCCACGAAATATTCTTTTTCAGAAAATAAATAAAGAGGGTATCAAGAGGTTTCACGTCTTATCTAGGAGGTTATTTATGACGAACGCTTCTCTTATCTACATGTTTTATATAAGATAACTGTATATAGGTTATAGCTGTAACAACATGAAGACTTGTCAGACCTCTGTATGTGTTAACATTTATTATAACCATATAAAACAATTCTAATCTTAATTTGAGGTGAACTTTTCATAATATGCATCATATTTGCTAACTTTACAGTTGCCCCCCAGTGGCACAGCGGACTTATACTGCTAAAAACCGGGGTTCGATACCCTTGGTGGGCAGAGCCCAGATAGCCCTTTGTATAGCTTTGTGCTCAATAATAAACAACAACAACTTTATAGTTAAATTAACCTGTTATATTGTATCAGTTACTTAAAATTATTTAGACAAATCTATGAGTTTAGATCTGAATATTTAATTGCTACAGAAATCAATAATTATATAACTGAAATACAAATAAATATAAAAAACAGTACTTTGTCATTTGTTTGTTCCTTTGTTGCTTACCGTAAAGCAACACCCTGGTTAATCTGTGCTGTGCTCCCTGCGAGAATCAAACTCCGATCTTTAGCGTTATTAGCCCTCAACCTTATGAGTGAGATCATGGACCCTATTTCGCTTCAAGTAGTTTTTGTGATTCGAAGCTAACTCACGTGAAACATTTCATGAAAAAAAAAAAACCGAGTGAGAAGCACACTTAAGAATAGTTGTAAAGTTTAACGAGTAAACTTTTAAGTTCGAAATAAACTGCATATTCGAGATAATTAGAACTATTGACAGTATGAGCTTTTAGAAACAGTAGCAGTGTTCTAGCTGTTCCACTTCACTGATATCAACAGTGCTCTTAGTTTCAAGACTTGAAGTCTCTAAGCGCAGCGGAACTTATACCACGGTTCGAAGCCCAAACTAACAAAGGGGAATGCCTAATGTATGCAAGTGAAACCCGGTTATGGCAGCTACGCCTTATTTTTTTGAGACATTTCTCTTAAGAAAGCCTAGGGAAAGAGACCAGGGTAGGAGGCTGACTGTATGCACCGGTGAATCTGTATCTGTGTCTTAGTATTTTTATTTATAAAAAGGGATATTACGCATGTGCTATTTTTATCTCAATTTAGAAGGTATAAGGAAATATTTTTATTTCAACTACTGAAATGAAATAAAACATAGTGACCAAAGAAGTAAATGTAATAGGATTTTCTCTCTCTCAGTGTTAGGATGGATAAACCAGTATATTAAAATAAACTCGTGGCTATAAAGTTCGTCTTGTAAATGTATAGAATGACTGTACCGATAGAAATTGAAAATGATTATGATTACCTTATTTGCTTTAGTGGGATTATACAGGAAAATATAAAGGGAACCCAACAATTAGAATAATTAAATATGAATTCCTTGGCCTTCAAGATCGATTAAGTATTTCAATTCTTAATAAACTTATAAAAAAAAAAGGTTTAACATTTACCATTTTGTTACCATTTTAATTACTGTTTATTCTTTTTTTGTGTGTGTGATTATTATGCAAAGCTATTGTGATCAGCATTATTTGGTCAAAACTTCTGGAGTTTGAATAAACCTTTCAAGCCAGATTTCTTCCTAGTTATTAACGAACTTCAGAATTCGATTCAACCTGTACACATACCCTTTTAAAGCTTCTGTTTATTATTTACTCAGTATCTGATGAAGATTGTTTTTATAACTTAAAATGACACATTTCTCAGGGTCTAAATTATGGCCATTTATGTGTATATTTTTTATTTAAATTCAATCTGAAACTTCGGCCAAAATAAAAAAAAAAAAAATTATTACTAATATAAATTACAATTAGTAGGGTGTAGTTAGGGATATTCAGCCCTTCGCATAACCTCGTAGATAGCTAGCTTAGGTTGTGAATCCGAGGATGCATGATTCATTTTCCGTTGATGCAAAAATATGCTCCGTACTTTTGGGCCACATGTGCGTTATAACAGCAACGATCAGATTCAACTATTAAATTATACAATATTAGCCCAAGAGTTTTAGGTGGGTGCGATTGACTAGTTGCCTTCCCCTAATTTATCAGTTCAAATTTAAAAGTCGACTATATGCACAGACAGCTTGAAAAAACAAAATTATTATCTGAGTTTTAAACGGAGATAAATACGAGAAACTTTGTTGATAAAACATTATTTTTGTTAATCACCTGTCTAACAGTTGTAGAGACAGCGTTAAATATCGCATGCCATTAGTTGCAACAGTTTCTTCAAATGGCTTTATAACAAAGTTGGTATATAGGCAAAGAACGACAAATGGCATTATAACAAAGCTAGTATCTACGGAAAGAACGACAAAGTTAATGTCTAGGCAAATAACGATAAATGGCATTAAAACAAAGCTAGTATCTAGGCAAAGAACGACAAATGGCATTATAACAAAGCTAGTATCTAGGCAAAAAACGACAAATGGCATTATAACAAAGCTAGTATCTAG